GTGTGCGGACCATTTTCATTTATATAGTGCTCTGTGAACACAAATTAGTTAAATCAGTTAAATGACGAAAAAGGTGATGTCTATTTACTTGTGACCATGCTGTGTACATATGATTGTCTATTACATAAAGATATTTTATACCTATGATTGTCTATTATGTAAAGGTATTTTATACCTCTGAGTGTCTATTAAGTAAAAGTATTTTATACATATGATTGTATATTACATAAAAGTATTTTATACTTATGATTGTATATTACATAAAAGTATTTTATACTTATGATTGTATATTACATAAAGGTATTTTATACCTCTGAGTGTCTATTACGTAAAAGTATTTTATACTTATGATTGTATATTACATAAAAGTATTTTATACTTATGATTGTATATTACATAAAAGTATTTTACACTTATGATTGTCTATTACATAAAGGTATTTTATACTTATGATTGTCTATTACATAAAGGTATTTTATACCTAAGATTGTCTATTACATAAAGCTATTTGATACCTATAAGTGTCTATTACGTAAAGCTATTTTATACCTATGAATGTTTGTTACAGGAAAAATTAAATTTCAATTAGAATTAAACTGAAGTTCAGATTACTTGTCTCTTTCCATTAGATGTTTAGTACAGTATGATTTTAAAAAATGTATCACTTTTATTCTAAAACTTGGCATTAAACATTTCAGTATTGGTCAGAGCAATCACAAAATTATGAAGCAATTATATTTAGTTTCAGTTTAGATTATGAACCAAAATGCCAAACATTAATTAGTCTATAAGATTTTCTTCTTGCTGACAGAAAGGAATAACTACATTCTATAGATAATGTGTAGTTAATTTTAACTCATCATTCTAAACCTTTTTCCAATATACCTATATTAATTTTTGTGCAGGAAAGATAATCCTGTATTACAGCTGAGACTTAAAAACAATTGAAGTTTTTCAATTATGTTATAATTTGTTTACCAACATTTCATTTCTTGCTCAAAACAAAAACAAAATTTTGCTAAACAAATGCTATCAAATTACAAAACAATTTTTTTTTATAGGTTTTGGTATTACACAATTTAAATTTTCTAATCTGACAACATAATATACCATTCTTTTTCTAACATCCCCCCCAGTGGGCCAATGGTAAGTTTACAGACTTACAACTCTAAAATCCTGGGTTTGATTATCCATGGTGGATACAAGGTAGATAACTTATTGCATAGCTTTGCAAAAAAACAAAAGTTATCTTTTTCTAAAACCATTCTTAAAATTCTGACAAAAGGTTGCATTAATACTTGTTCATTAACGAATATTTTATTGTTTGAAACAGTGGTTCCCAACATGGGGTCTGCAAAGTAATACTTGGGGTCCGTGAGCTATTCTTTTAAATTAACTAAAGCTGAGACTGTTCTACAACTGTCACAATTTTTCTGGCTCTCTAAGTATGTGAGATAAGCCATTAAAGCAACTTAATTATTAGTTATAACATCTTAGTTTATAACATACTGTCATACTGTTATGCCCCCCAGTGGCACAGCGGTATGTCTGCGGACTTACATCACTAGAATCCGGGTTTCGATACCCGTGGTGGGCAGAGCACAGATAGCCCATTGTGTAGCTTTGTGCTTAATTACAAACAAACATACTGTTACATCTAAATCTTTCAACTTATCAAATTATTAAAAAGTACTAATCCTAATGATTCTGTTTACATCTGTCCAAATTATTTCTTTTTAATATTCAGCTTTAACAAAAAATACATTTGGATAACTATTACTATTAATGATTATTTTTTGTATTGCAAAAACTTTGTAAGACAGCTGATCATTATAATAGCTTATAAATGTCATACCTGATATGGGTCCTCTAAAGATGGAAAAGTTATACTGGCTTCTAGCCAGCGGTCACCATGGTCACCCCAGTTTGTCCACAGTAAGTTGCGTTCTTTAGTTTTAGGCACATATTGATAGATGCTTAACTCATGTATATCAGATTTGAAGGTACCATTTCTGTACATGTAGTACCACAACCGGAAGCACTTGGTGCCAGTCAGGGGTGGTGAAAAAATCCTAGCATTTCGCTTGGAAGCAAGTTTTAGAGCCAAATACCAGCCACCTATTAAACATGTACAAAAGCATTTCATCTATAGGTAATTATTAACAACATGTCTGTCTACTCCATTACATTGAAAATGGTTAATATATCTCATACACTATCTTTTTTTATATTGATGTTACTATATTTTAATTAGTCACATTCAGATACGTCCAAACTGAAAATAGATAACGAGCACAACAGAAAACCAGCACTCACACAAATTACCAAGACTCAAAATAACAACTGCAAAATGTAACTGAAATTGACAGTATAATCTCAGGCCAATGTTTCAATTTTTCTCTTTGGAAAGAAATAGTTTGTTTTCTGAGCAAAATTTATGACTTAAAAACTTTTGCCAAATATTTAAAATAAATTGTAAGTGCAATAATCTTAGTTTTATCAGCATTACCTTCCTTGTACTGCAAATGTTTATGGTCAAACATTGGACCAGGAGCCAGGCTAGTTGAACCCTGCTGCATTATCCAATTAGTTCCATCATCTGACCCTTGCTGCCACCAGCACATGTGTTTTTCAAAATCACAAAGCTCAGTCTCTTGCTGGTCTAAAATTTCAACAATAATCTATCAGTAAACCTTCCTTTTAAGTGATCACCAATAATTCTTTAATGTTAAAACAAAATATCATTTACGTTTTTAAGCAACCAAAAAAATCTGAATTACAAATGTGGTCAGCTTAATACAAAAAAAATTTAACAGTTAACAAAACATTCAAACACAGTTAGACAACATGTAAAGTTATCTCAGTCTTACAAGAGTAGTAAGTGCTCTTAATGTTATACATTTGTGCAATAAAGAGAGAATAAGATTCAGTATATATATATATATATATATACGTAAACACACACATACACTTTTAAAATCCCAGCCAATATTTATTTTTTAATTCTCATACCATCAAACAAACTTTGCTAACACATTCAAAAATCTAAGTAACGTAAAAACTACTCACCATATTCACACAATTCATTGTCAACTGTAATATCATCAATAGCGATGTGAAACTGATAACCATTGTCACTCTGCACAGCCTCGAAAACCACCTATATAGAAAATTTAAAAAACATTACACAAATATAAACTAATCTAGCACCTATAAGTAACTGCAAAACTGCTTTTCCAAACAGAAGAGTCAAATTAATACCTCACACTAACATATAAGTGCAGCTGAATATTAACTAACATTTCTAACTGTACCTTACACATATTATGAGCAATAAATCTGGAAAATTAACTCGATATAATCAATTAACTAAGAGCATGAATAAAATTGATTAGTGTTAGGTAAAATATCCATTCATGTAAAGAAAAAATCACCAATTAATCAAAATTTGTGTTTCTGATTATTACTCTCCAAGAAATCGAAATAATTTTAGCTTATGATTTCTTCTTACTGTTTTTGATTAATTCAAGGTTTGTTTGTAGTTTAAGCATAAAGCAACATAAAGAGATATCTGTGCTCTGCTCACCATGGGTATCAAAACCCAGTTTCTAGCATTGTAAGTCTGCAGACATACCACCGTGCCACTGGAGGGCAGTTAATTCAAGATTTTTCAGCTTAACTGAATGTTTATGTGGTTAGTTCAATGGACCTATCTGGTACTACAGAAGTAATGTTCACTATATTTCTGAATTTATGATGTGTATCTTCATGAAATGTGGCAGCCTTTACTCAAAAGTATGAGTCTGTTGTACACAAAATACTAAAGATATCTCTGTGAAACATAAAAATCACTTTCACAAGTTGATGTTTATGTGAAGAATAAAAATACTTTTGTCAATCATACAGTTTTCACGTTGCATTTGCTTAACTCTACAATCTCCTAAATACATGTCTAAAGTTTTTCTAATATCCCTGTAAGTTGTGACAGGTATTTCAGAAGACTTGTAGTCAAAACACTGAGAATAAAAAGGTCCTGACATAGCACTCATAGTCTCATTGCTACCTTATTATCTAACTGATTAATGACACGACTCAGGAAAATAATCAACTAATCAAAACTATTGTTTACAATTATTACTATTTTTGATCAGCCCAAACATCCAAATCACATGTCAGAATCATTGATTAGATGAATGTCATCAATTAATGAGTCTGGCAATAAATTGATTAGAGAATTCTACTAATCCTTCAGCCCTATTGAAAAACAACAGTTAGATTAAACATATGTATAATGCATGTTTAAGGTGGAGGAAAAAAAAACCATAATTTTAAGAGCAGTTAACATACTATAAGGGCAAATTGGGTTGTTTTGTTGTTATCTTTTATACCAGTTTTAATTTCATTTTCTGTAATGAAGTGCCTATTTGGTTGTTTAAAGCAAGGATTCCCAAACTTTCCCAGCTCACAAACCACCTACATAATCAAGCAACTTTCTGGGATCCATGCTGAACTGGGAGACTGGTTATTATTATGATATATTTCAGTTAAGTACCAGACTGCTCTTATAAATACCTTTGAAATACAAATATGTTTAATGCTTTACTGTGTGTTGTTCTAAAATACAAACTGATACCTCTTGTTACCCACAGCTGGTTTAAAAAATGTCATAGTGATAATAAAGACTATAATATATAAAAATTAACAAAGGGGCTAAATATACTTGTGAACTTACTGAAAACCTATAGCACAACAAAGTACAGGGGTACAAGAGGAATGTAATGATATTTGTCACACAAGAACTGTTCTTAACTTTACCAACTTCCAACCTACTCTCACCTGGTGCAGTATTGTTTGTTTGTTTTGAATTTCGCGCAAAGCTACACGAGGGCTATCTGTGCTAGCCGTCCCTAATTTAGCAGTGTAAGACTAGAGGGAAAGCAGCTAGTCATCACCACTCACCACCAACTCTTGGGCTACTCTTTTACCAATGACCCGCAGATTGCAAGTCGAGCGTCCTAACCACCTGGCCATACCGGGCCCGCAGTATTGTAATAAGATCATAAGAATATCATACAAAACAAGCTCACAGGTGCCAGTAGTATTACATTAAGAAAAACAATACATTTTCATAGAAGTTCTTTTTATGTGAAATTTTAATAAAATATCTCAAAATTCATAATATTTTTAATTTCGTTTTACTATTTAAGTCAACATGAAATTTATATGATGAAACATTCCCTGTGGTAAAAACATTGAAAGCATGTGTTTAACCATGTTTTAAGTCAGATTAGTATAATTTGTAACCATTAGATTAGGATATCATGTAAATGTGTTAAATCAGATCATAATACTGTGTAGCACTGTGTTAAATTAGGATATTGTGTAACCATGTGTTAAGTTAGGATACTGCATAATCAAGTGTTAGATTAGGATATTGTGTAAACGTGTTAAGTTAAATTGGGATATCACTTCAGCAAAGATACCACTGAAAGAGAAATTATGTTTGGTTAGTCATTAGTAAATAGGTTCAAAATCAAAGCAATGATGCACTTGAGTCTGTAATACTGAAAACTTTAAAAAAAGAAGACTTAAACCTGTTTCCAAACTCTGGACACATCAGTTATTTTGTAACAATTAATATACACGCTTTGAACTACATTCCAGGAGTTTTTATCAGTAATTTATAGCAATATTAATAACAACTAGCAGAAATGCCACCCTAAGGGCAGCTGTTTGTGATAGCAATTACTAACAATAGTATTCATACCTCATGGAACAAAATTTAGAAAAAGTGAACATTTCTTAAAAAGGATTTTTTCTGGGAATTACTGCATGGGAAAAGTGCTGGGATTGTGCTGATATAAGCTGTGATGTTTTCATATATTAAAAATGGTACCCTTTATTGAAAAAATAATTTTTTTTAAGAACTCCATTTTTTTAGTATTACATTTACAAATTACACCAATAAAGATATAATCAAACCCTCATGTACAGTCATAGTGAAAGTCATATTCTTGTTGTGAGGAGAGTACTTTTATTTAAAATTATGTTCTGTTATAAAGAAATGGTTGTTACACATACCATACTTTTTTTTCTGTCTGAATCTTGAATACCCAAAGTGTGAAATTTATTTATGGATTTTTGTTCGCAGTGCTATTCACAAAGTGGCACCACATTGTATTTATCGTTTCGGTTACATACATAGATTTGATTATTCTAGTAATTGTAAGACTATCCAAACCTGGGTATCTGTGCCATTTTCTAGGAACAATGGAATAGAAGCCTCCATCCACCTATCTCCATGTGCTCCAAATCGGCTCCAAACAGTAGTTCCACAGTTAGAACCTCTGCACAAATACACTTGTAGCTTTCCATAGGAGTTGCTTTGGTGGAGATGGTACCAAAACTTAAGGCACATTTTCATCTCTACCTTTGCGTAAATTATGGGTGAAATGAGTCTTGTGGTGTCACCTGGTTTTGATGAGCTTGCAGCATTTGTAACCAAGTAGTATCCATCTGAAATGGTGTTGGACAATCATGAGAGTATTAATTATACTAGACATTTCAAGTAAACAAAGAGAACTGAATAAGATGTTACTCAAACATAACAATCAGCTCAATTTTATTCAACCAAATTTCTTTGTTTTGCAAATCATATAATGTTTAACCTGTAAGTTTAAAACCTTCAAGATCATTACAATACATTATCATTCACAAAATTCAATACAGTCAGTTCTTACATACTAATTAAGATTACTCACTTTATACAAACTAATTCAACTTTAGTTCTTACCTTCACTGTTTTGACTGACACAAGGGTAGGTGTGATCATTATATGGTCCAGAGTTTTTTGAAGCTCTCCAATGGGCAGCACCACGCTGAACTGACCAATGAAATTTGGAATCTTGTGAACGAGTCCATCCACACAATCCATAATCAAAAGTGCAGCTCACAGTAACAGAATCTGTAAAGTAATAACAAACTCTAAATTATTGTAAGGCTTTCTTGTATTATAAACAACATAAGCATAACATGCTGAATATGCTTGTTTTTCTGTTTATAGTATGTTAATTTAACTTTTAATGCAAAGACAAAGTAAACAGTGTTATTTACTTATTAAAATCATCAAATATGTTTCATATTTGGTACTCGTTTTACATATGTTCATACTCAATACAAGTAATGTTTTGGTTATCATATAAAACCAAATTTAAATTATAATAAAATTCATTAAAAACAACTCTTCATTGAATCTTCAGTGATAAATAATTTCCAATAGATATAAGCTAGTGAAATGAAAAGAAGCAAATTCACCAGTGCATTTAAAACTTGAATGATCATATTATGCTTTAAGTTGAGTGAAACATAAAAGGAAAAGAAATAATTAAATACATATTTATCTGGACTTTTAAAACATAAGTTTAGAAAAAGTTTTTTCACATCTTCTGAAGTGTTAAAATTTTCTATCAGTGTTGCTCTAAAAATGTGTGCATTTGTGCTGAAATTTAAATAACTTTAATAAGAATAATTAGGGTTTGGAACTTTTCTGACAATTTGAAAAATATCTTCTAAATGCTGATGCTGTAAGAGTCAAAATTTGTATAATTCTTCACCTTTATTAAAATATTTCTACAAATATTTAGAATACAAAATTCATAGTACTATTCCTTTTATTAATGTGGTTGATTTTGAAAGTTTTTCTACTTAAGAAAAATTAAATAACTGAAACAAAATTAACAGAGTTGAAAAACATTAAACAGTGTTTTAACATTTTATATCAAAAATTAAAAACCGATTTATAAGTTTAAATACATTCTATGATTATGAACAAAGTAGCTAAATCTAAAACCTGTAAGAAGTAAAAAAAACAAACTTTTGTTCAGATATAATGATGAAATAGACCTAGAGTAGTTTGAATGACAGAAAAATTATTTTTCATATCACTGTTTTGTCTTTAAAACTAACCCAAACGACCAGTAAAATACAAATGTAACTGCTAGATTAAAGCAAAGACCCCTGTTGGTGTACTTGTACACAGAAATATATTTCTGATGTTGCAAACTGCAATCCCTGTTATGGATTGAAACTATTATACATACATACATATGTAGTTTAAGGAGAACAAGGGACAAATTGGTCCATCTAGGCCATCTCATCCACTAAACTAAACTTTAAAAATGAAAATAAAACACTCAAATCCAGCCCTTATCATTCTCTCAACCTCCCTTAAATTAACTTTATAAACCACATTCGAAGACAATACATTCCACAACTATGGAGAAAAGCATACACTAAGGGCTTTAAAAAGATATGTTAAAGATGTTTTTGGATTTTAGTATTTCACATTTGCTAAACATTTAGTGAAAGTAGTTAGCTTTTATTACTCTAACAAATTGAATAAAAAAAAATCTCTCATGAACAAGACACAAAGATTCCATCTACATTGGTAGGAAGTCTAAGCTATTTTTGAAGCAAGAAAAATAAATTAGACTTTATTAAAAATAATAATAGAAGTAATTGTTATAATTTCTTCAGGTGTATTTTTACTACCAATAAGTTGTTCATAAGAGAAATTTCCAAAATTTACACACACACACATATACATACATATATAACCAACAGGCTTGAAATGTTGCCAAGTTAATAAATTATTACCATAGTTTTTAAAAGGGATTTTTTCTCTATAAGTCTAATTTATATATATTGTTACGCCTCCATTCGTTAGTTAATTTTCCGTAAAAATTCTTTCCAAAGAAACTTTAGCAATACAAGTATTTTCTTAAATAAAACTGGTTTATTCTCTCTGAATACACTTAATTTCATCAGTCGAGCTATAACAAACGCTATAATTCACAACGAACGTCTCACGTGCTCGACTCAATAATACATCTCTCTCTTTCACAATTCAATTACACATTGTTCCCGTCGCTTCTTGGCCGGTCTTATATATACAAGACTACCCCATATGTAGTAGTCTCCCGATGCTTCATGAACGTTCTAGAAGCGTGTGGCATGTTACTAGCATCACGTGACCTCCGCTGTCGTAACAATATATATATATATATATATATATATATATGCACACACACACACATGTATTTTAAACAAACATTTAGCCTTAATACCCTCACCTTTGACACAAGCTCCATTTAGTACGTTAATTTCATCCAAAGCAATGTCAGCGACAGATGTAGGAAATGACTCGGCACCTTTAATGCCTTCAAAAACAACCTATAAAGCAGAGATCCAAGGCATGTTTATTATATGTATTATTATGAATGTTTACTAAATCTCACAATGTCAAACATTCATACAGGTCTTACTCATGAACTGAAATACTATTTCAACTTGGGTGTCATAAATTCCTTTAAATAGACTTAGAAAAGTGATTATATTACATCAGACTTCTGTAAGGTCTACATGCCTAATTGTTTTGCTGGCTTAGGCATTGTGAATGATCTCATCAGAGTTTAAGAAGTGACACTGTTACAGAGCTTTGGTCATTTAATTCCGGCTTTTGTTCAATGATCAAGATATCTTATATGATATCTTTCTTTCTAGTGTTGATGCCCACTGTTAAAAGCAGCAAGTTCATGCAACACTATGGTTTCTCAAACTGTGTTTACGTAGTAAAAATTAAACTTGGAGGGACAGAAAATTATCTTAATAACAATGGTTTACTACTGTGTCAACATATCTAACCTAAAATAAAAATTTGTTAAAAAAAGAGAGACAAGTATTTATAATATTAGGAATCAGTATTTTGAACAAGTGATAGATATACACGTACAGCATATCTTTCAAAACTAAATTAAACTAACATACTTAACATGCTTGAAAAATGTGTGGAAACTAACACATTAGTCATTAAGTATGTCAGTGTTGAAGTGGAAAGCAAGACACAAGATTCAAAAACATTTGAATCCTTCTACTTAATACAAGAGCAACAACTGATGTTTCATCAAACAACAACAGTTAACTTGATATTAAGTAATTTCTGTGGAAGTACAGGTAAATTACAACACATCACTATCAGATAAATCATGTTCAGTAGCAATTACAGTGTATGTGTAGCTAACAAATGACAGTACTTGTAAGTATGACCAAGACAAAATACTTTACTAATGCTAAAGTAACAAATTATAATAAAAATACCACAACAATAAACTTAAATTGTCTTAAATTACTATTAACTAGATCATACTGTCACTTTGGCTCAAATCATATTAAAATTACTACTGGTTAATATCACTACGAACTGTACCAAACTTACAACAATGTAAAGGATTTATGGACAAATTTTACAGTACTAAGATTACACTGAACATCAGTTGGGTACCAACAGAAAATAATACTAGCAACAAACAACATTGTTTCTTAAAAACAAACCACAAAATCATAGTAGTAAAAAATAAGAGTAGCAGTGTCCAAACTCTTCAGGACATATGCTCCAAACTTTCTGGAAGTCTGATGACTTCATACTATAAGGGTATTGGTTTTCTTTTTACATATTTTATACTAATTATGTTAAATTATTATTAATTATTATTAGAATTTCCACCTAGCTTTAAAAAAGTGGGAACATAACAAGCTAAAGATTGAGAAATGTTATTTGTATTAAAGAGCAATAATGTATGAATAGTTGTGATATTTTGTTTAAAACTGCATATAATTAACCTTATTTTTGGTAGGTACAACTATCTGGCAAGAAGTGTCATTTATTCACAATTCAGAATGTTCTTTTTTTTTTAAATAACATTTCTTATTTTGAGGGAAATCTTTATCTATCTATTATATATTTCAGTGTACATTGTACATGACATTTCTGCAGCTCTGAGTACAACTAACAAATCAGAGTTCAGAATAACAAAATCGCCAGGTTTTACAATAACAGTAGTTACCTTGTTCAAAGAAGATGGTGGTGTCTTCAGAGTAATGTAAATATGAATCCATCGCTGATCTTGGTGACCAAAGGTTGTCCATACTGGAACTCCAACACTGTTATTATGGGAGTTAGTCACATACACTTTTAGTTCATGAGGAAAGATATCTTTGGAATTTACCATGTAGTATGAAAACTGAAGACAATCTATGCCACTAAAGAGCAGCCAAGAACTAACAAGTGATGCCACCTGGTGGCCTGCAGCATTTCTTCTTTGTGTGCCTTCCATGTAGACATACCATCCATCTAAAATGTTTTTCATAAAAAATATAACTGGTAAAGTATGGATACAAACATCAAAATGAAGAAAGACTAAGAAATACATTGCACTTTTTATATATAAATTAAATACTTCTAATATTAAACAAATTTCAACTAGGCACTTTTATATGTCTCTAAACTATCCTAGACATTGGTATCACACTCAGTTTTTGAATCATTGTAATGTTCAAACATTATGCACAAATACAATGAATTTTATTTGCTCCGAGTTCAAAATCCAACATAACAAGATGGGGTAAAATTCTGCCAGAACTCACTGAAACTCAATATCAACTATTTCTGTAATTCCAAATGGATTACTATTTCTTTTTTACAAGTCAATACAGAGTTCCCTTTAACTTTTGTATTTCTTGGTAGCTCAATCTGAACAGTGTAAGAAGAGGTTCTATTTATTTGCAAAAAATTTGTATCCCATACATTGTTAGGACAGGTGTTGGAAAAGTTACCAGTACTGAAAGGAAAATTTTGCTACTGATTAAAGTTATAATAGGAGTGCAGCAGTAAACAGGAGGCAGCCTTCCTTTTAATGTACTGTTGGTAGAATCTAGTATAAGGCAGATGTACAGTCCATCTGTCCCTTAAAAAAACTTTGTCATGCAGCCTAAAAAATTAGTGTAATGGTGTAATTCAATAAAAAAACACTCACAAGAAAATACAACTAAGAGAGAAGTTTACCTTAATAAATATTCAGGAAGACTGAGAAATTGCTGCAAAAAGCAGTCAGGATATGTAGATAAATGCCAATGCAACATGACATGGATAAAAGTAATCATAAAAATAGTAACTGTTCCTGAAATCATCCTCAGTCTGTACCATTATATGCTCTTCCAAAATACATCTATGCTATAAAAGGACACACAGATTCTTTACTAGTAGTTATCCCTGGTTGTATAGAACTGATGAGAAATTTTTCTTAGCCAACTCTTTGGGCTAACAGGAACAAGAAACTTGACACAGAATAGATTAAAGTATGAAGACTAACCCAAGGTGACTCAGAAAAGATTAAGCACAATTCAAACAGAAGCAACCTACCTTAAAACATTACATCTAACTATATGGGTCAGAACAAACAAACTATCGTAAGGTGATGGAATAAAAATTTAATGAGCTTTAAAGGTTATTCAAGTCTTAATAGTAAAAGAAAGAGTCATTGGGATGAAAATATTGACATTCCTGAGAAAATTAATATCCCCCCCCCCAAAAAAAGAAAAATAAAGACAGAAAATAAGAAATGGTTTGGGGAAAAAATAACAGGAAAGACAGGAACAATGAAGAGTCTGTAAATTCCTACTTACTGAAAAAGACGGTCATCTCAAGAAACCAAGAACCTAACAATTAATGAGACTTGAACTAAACACAGGCTCTGAAAACCTTAAGAACTAGAGGGGCACTTAGTAGAGTGTATATCTCTGCCACGCAGAGTTGATCATATTTGGCCCTCAAAAAAAAAAATGTGTCCATATGCCCGTCATTATCAATGGAGGTGGACCATTTTTTGGCAGAACAATGAAGAATAATATTCTACAGATGTCCACCAAGTTTCATCAAAATCTGATCATTTTTGACTGAGCTATAGGGCAAAAATAGTGTGAAAAATGAGTCCCCATGTTAACAGATAGGGATGTTTTGGATTTTCATGACTTTGCTGTGACCTTGACCCTCCAAAACTAATCACTTTTCAGCTGGGCCATAGTCCAAATGTGTATCAACTTTTATCCAAATCAATTGAGCCATTTTTGAGAAATCTTGCTGACAAACATACACACACCACACATGGTTGAAAACATAACCTCTGTCACCTTTCAGTGGCTGAACGTAAAAATGTACATGTAGGGTAGTGAAAGCACTTGTTCCCAATTGTTGATTTTCTCAGGAATGAGATGTTAACCTGTGCCCTACTCTGCCTTTAACTGTAGATTCAACTACATCATTATTAATGTTTATAACAGTATCCACAAAATACTCATAATGTATATCTTATAATACATAGAAAGAAATCCACACATAACTCACTTATCAGTCTCACACCTAAGCTATCATCCCACTGTGGTCCAAACTGTGGGTGTGTAGTTAATGCTCCTTGTTGCAGAACAAAATTTGTGGTGATCTTGTCCACTCCCTGAGTCCATCCACACAGGCCATACTCAAAGTCGCAAAACGATGACAATTCTACATAACATACAGCAGGAAAGCAAGTAGCAAATTTGAAATGAAAAACATTTCTCCCAAACATACAACACCTAAGGTTACAGAATAGTGTTCTATTTCAAATAATTAAGATGTAATTTATTTGTTTTTCCCAACATGTTATAATACACTAGTAGATGAACTTTTACAAAATACCCCAAATAATTAAGTGTTTAAAACATCCCAATGAGACTATGACTGTTTTAATACTTCTTTTGAAGGGTTTTTAATACACATTTTTTGTATTGCATACATTATTTCATCTAGATTTAATTACTTATACTGATCTAGTTATACATTAGACCTGGCATGGCCTAGTGGTTAGGGCATTTGACTCACAATCTAAAATTTGCGAGTTTGAAACCTGTCAACAAACATACTCGCCCATTCAGCCTTTATAATGTGATGGTAAATGACATAATGGCAGGTTAATTTAAGTTAAATTAAGTTCTCAAACTTTGGAAGTCTGAAGACACTTTTGACATAAGCTAAGTTCTTATGGATTTCAACTTAATTATTATCTTCTACTCTCAATGAAAGGTTTTCTTTTGCAATAGTGACTAGACTATACATATTAAATTATTAATAAAGATTACTGTGTTCTCAGGGGCCCTGTCAAAGCTTTTATCAGACCTCTGGTTGAGAAAATTTGGTGTAAGTGACAAATTATTTTCTAGCATTAAATACTAAAATGAAACAACATTCGAAAATTTTGAAGAATTCCCTTGGTTAAATAAGAATAACTATTATCAACTGATATGGATTAGGTTACATCAGATAAGAGGTATATGTGAACACTTTCATCAAGATAATATTTCTATTGTAATATCAGAAGACTTTAAGTCAGGAAAGTAATTGACTTGAGTCTCCTGACCTAACCTAGACTTTTATTTAAGATTCATGGTTGATCAACTTTGTTTGAGTGCCTTTCTAAATTAGAGCTTCCACCATAAATTGAAACATTTTTAGACACATCACCAAACACCTTAGCAATCATAGATAATACATACATAATGATATTATTTCTAAGTTAGTGATACAGAATTTTTAGTCAAGTATTTTCTCAAACAATTTACATCCATACCTTCTATACATGAATCATTAGTTAATGATATAGCATCAAGAGCAATATCTCCTGCCTTGGCACTATAACTAATTACTGCTTCAAAAACAACCTGCAATATACAAAAATCATATTTTCAGTAAAATAAACAGCACAAATTTTAAAAAACTCACTTTAGTTTTTAGAGCCAAACATATAATATTTGGTTTAATATATGTTTTATATTCAAATAAAATGCTTTGATCACATATTCAATGAGCAGATTAAAGAGAGATTAAAAACTGGACATGTTGATTTTTCATAAAATATTTCCACAGTGAAACTTAGATTAAACTCTGTTTTATGGTAGATGATCTAGTTAAAATAGAATTTCCTAACTTATAAAGTGATCAAAGAACAGAATATAAAAATCAGTGATACAAATATGTTCAAGAAGTTTTGGTCAAACATAAATACAAAAAAAGGTAAGCGGAGCACGTATCCAAAAAGTGAGGAATGCTTACAATTCCTACCTAGTTTTCCTGAACAGTTGTTTGCAACTTTTAAACTTTAATCAAAGCTATGAGAGGTATCTTTCTAAAACTCTCCATTTAACAAATGCATTATTTAAAAATGTATACAAAATGTTTCAAAGTGCCATATTAACAAAAAATTAAATTTTATGCACAAGTTTACCACCATGCAAATCATGCTTAACTCCTTTCACAAATGACAACACTAAGCAGATTCTCTGTTTTGCATCTTCCAACATTATATAATCTAATCTTCACAGATTGTAAAGTACAATACTTGATACTTAAATGAAATAGAAAAAATATCTTTTTAAAAACATCATTATTAGTGTTATATTGGAATTAATTGCATTATTATTTCTTGCTGAAATTTGAGGAATTTTAATTTCAAATTTAATTGAAATTATAGCTTAAATTACTATAAGACAAAATTAAAACACACAGAAATTATACTAGTTAAAACAGTGAAAAACTGTATCATGCCTTCACACTTATAGTTAGCAAAATTTTTCCCTGGAGCCAACGATTTCCATGGTTACCCTTGCGACTCCAAACCTGCGTGTCCACTCCTTCTTCTGACCGTAAATAGATCTGTAACTGTCCTACATCAGGTCCATGAAGAAAATACCAAAAGCTAAGGCACCTGGTTTCCCCTGTATTTACACTGATACTCGAACTTACAATACGAGTGTAGTCATTGCTACGATGGCTGTACACACTCATGTACAAGTAATATCCATCTGTAAATATTCAAAATATTTTAAAAATCTTATTACATGGTTTGATAGAATGAAGTGAAATGTATGATAAATTAACACCTCAAAATTTTCCTCATGAGAAATGACAATTCAAATAAACATATTTCTCATTCTAGCTTAATAGTGGACACTCAAAAACAGCCTCAGAGCTTGCAAGGACCAAAGGCAGAGTAGCTTGTGAGACCCTCTTCAATAAATCAAATAACAATTGTTCAAAAACAAATGATGTCACAATATCAGTGCACACGTTTGCATGCCCACTTGTATCTTTTTTATTAGACTAGTCCACTTATCAACTTTATCACACTAACTTAAGCATAAATAATCAAATTATATTCCCTTAAATTGGTCATGACACATAAATAAGAATATTTATTAGTTTCCATACTTCAAGTGCAGGGCCCAAAACAACTGCGTAGCTTGCTTCGCCCTAAGGCCATCTCTGGGCACTAGCAATAAAATTGGATTTCTATTTATTTACTTTATTTCTATTTATACTGAGATTTCATAGAACAATATTATTGTACAATTAACAGTTTTATTTCTGGGACAAGAGCTAGAAAATACTTGGCTGCTGCAAAAGTATTATCCACATTCACAAATCAACATAGGATTCAACAACATAAGTAAAACATACAAAACAAAAGGTTTCTTTAAACTACAGAATAAAATTTCTCCTTTCCTTGTTTAAAGTTTTTTGAACCCACCATTAAATAACTAAGCATTATCTATAAATCAAACAGGCAACTAACAAATTTTCTTTAAGGTATTAAATATTTAGTGTAGTTCAGCTACCATGAAGAGGACAAATACCAACCCCCATCAACATCAAAGAGAGGACGGAAGCTTCCACCACCAGCATTACTGCGCCACAGCCTCCAGCTAACATAAACTCCTAGATGGTCCAAAAACCAGCCACAAGTTCCAGAGCCAAAACTACAATTAACAGCAGTGGAATCTGGATCAAAAGTTGAAAAACAGAAACCAAATGTATGTGTTAAATAATATTAGATGTATGCAAAATTAATGTATTAAACTATATTAATTGTTTTCACAAATTTTTAAGTTGAAAACAGTAAAGTTAGAATGAAAAAGAAGCATACATTTTATAGTTAATTAACTTTGATTTATCACACATTATGCATACATATATATGTATGCATATTAAACATTATTAAACATTTAATTCCAGAATGCCACTAATCTACAGATCATTTCTCTGATTACTGTAATTCCCTATGATTACTCTCTCATTTTTAACATTTTGACAATAATTTTGCCTACTTCTAATGACCACACAATACAAAAAATCACATGTATGAATGGATCTTGAAAATCAGATTTAAATAAAAGTGCTATTCTTATTGAGAATATAATCATCAAAAAATATTTCTTACAAATTTCTAACTAGCATTTATGTACGTTATTCAAGTTTTGTAAGTATCCTTAGTCATCAGCTATAATTGGTCAATTCTTTAAATTCAAACTGAGAAGCATCACTAAATCGTTTTCATTAAAAAGTTGAATTATGAAGAACAGTAAGCTTTTGTTTTCTGTGAGGTTTTATCTATTAACTAGCATTTACATTTTTTTGTTAGATGTAAAAAAAATACCATCTGAGCAGGTTCCACTGTCAATTAAAATTTCATCCAAGGCTGCTGTGCCTGTTGGATTAGAGGTTGTATTTCCTTTGAATGCAATCTGGAAAACACAAAAAGTAATGCATATATTTTCTTTCTTTTTAAATACAAATAACAATATGTGACATAAATGCACTTTACTTCTGCTTTTAGAATATTGTTTAAACTGTACTTCAACTTAAGAGCCCACATTTAAAACATTTCAGCTTAATGGACCACATAGGAAGTGTGCAAATTGAAGTGGAAGATATATATACATATATAAACTCTCAGCAAAGTGAAAAACTTATTTAAGAATTTTCAAGACCTTAACTATGGTCATATTTCAGTATTAAATTGTCTAAACCTTCTCCCTACTTCCAAAATGTATTTCATATTATTTCCAAAGAATAACAAGGGGCCAATTGGTACATCAAAGCTACCACATTTAATATTATAGGTTACTGGTTATGCCACATTTGGAGTATTGTGTTCAGTCTTGGGCTCCTTACCTTAGGAAGGATATTGAATTGTTGGAAATGGTTCAGAGGAGGGTTACTAGAATGGTGCCTGGAATGGAGGGGGTTGTCATTCAAAGAGAGATTAAGATCTCTGAAAATGTTTTCTTTTAAAAAAAAGAAAAGTTAGAGGGGATCTGATTGAGGTGTTTAACATTGTAAAGGGAATTGATAGTGTTAATGCATCATTTTTTTTATATTTAACAGCAAGAATAGCAGGGACACAAATATAAATTTTGGAAAGGTAGGAGTCATCTTCAGCTAAGAGTTATATTTTTTCAAAAGGGTGTTTAGTCTCTGGAATGGGTTGCCTCTGAACGTTGTGGAAGCAATAAATTTAAGTGAGTTTAAGAGAAAGCTTGATATCTATATGAATGATAAGGGCTGGTTTTAAGATTTTTGTTTTTTAATTAATTTATTTAATAGTTTTAATTTAGTTAAGAGGATGGGATGGCCAAGATGGGCCAATAGGTCCCTTGTTGTCCATGAACATAATGTTATGTTATATCACCTTCCCAAGCAACAAGTATATGGGAAATAATTTACATATTCATATATCACTTTTCCCATAAATCAACTAACTACAATACAACAACTTATATATATATAATTAATTCCCTTTAGCTTAGACTAACATAAAAAACAGGATTGGGTCACGGTTAAATAATTTTCTTTGTGTGAAATAAGTTTGGTAATAAATATTTATTTTATAGTACTAATATTAAAATTTCCAATATAAGTTTTATAGTATTAGGTTACAAATAAATAATTTTGTGATTTTACCTGAAAAGGTCTTCCAACTCCCAAGATTGAAACTTCCGCCTTGAGCCATCGATCATCATGAGTGCCCCAAGACTCCCACAGTCGCTCTTTGACAGTGTTATTTTCCCATAATTCAACCGCCAGAGAAGTAAAATAAATGTTAGTAGAATACAAACTATGAAGATGGTACCAGAATCTCAGACATCTAAATTCCCCAACAGCCAGATTTAGCTCTTTGCTCAAAATGACAGCCTTTTGCAGTGAGCCTTGAAATTTGTTAACGTATATATACCATCCTCCTGTTCCTGTAAAACGACGAGAAATTAACTTCCGAATTACAATGTATCTTCAAGTTACTATTAACAAAGGATGCTATCAAAGTTTGTGATAATATTTTAGTTACTCAATGTTATTCGCGTTATTTTCTACAACAAAAGTTCCAATAAATCTACTTTTAACTGATGCAGGTGATCGAAGTCCAAAAAGCTGGGTAATGTGATAGTGCGTGTGATATTTGATTATTCGTTTTAATATTTAAACTGGTGTAGACTGCTGATTGATAATTGAGTGTGATTGGACGATTACTGAATTTTTGTGAATTTTGAGTTTGTGTTTTCAACAAAGTACTATATACACGAAAAGTATTGTATTGTATTTATTGCAAATCTACCATGTCTACCTGCTGTCGTCCCTAATTTTAAACTACTAACCAGAGAAAAGGTAAGAAGTCAGTAGCCCTACCACCAACCGTCCACACTGAGGGAGTGGCTCTCTAAGAACACACACACAGCTTTACAGTGCGGGAAATATTTTGTAGTAACGCACGTATTCGAACTAGAATGAAAAGTGCCCTACACAAAAGAAAATTAGAAAGTGAGTATAATTTCTGTTTGTAGGTTATTTATTTATAAAGATAGGCCTATTGTTAGTTAAATGGAATTTGTAAGCTTTATAAAACTTGTGGTTAAAGAAGTAAGACGTTTTCGTTATCGTTAAGTGTTCATACTGGGCTTTGCATTATTGTTTTTATCGAATAATTCAAAAATAATTTGTACAATATAGAAGCTGTCACAGCTTTTATTCTTGTTACTATACAGTACATTATGTGTGTTAAACTTGTCAGACAAATTTGATACTTTGGTATTTAGTTCGTGTTAATCGCCTAGGCCAAAGCCACTAAGAGATGCTTTAAGTAAATCTAGGCCTAGCATGGCTGGTAGTTAGGGCGCTTGACTCGCAATCTGTGTTTCGCGGATTCGAATCCATGTTACTGAATATACTCACCCTTTCAGCCGTTTGGGCGTTATAAGTGAAGAACAATTCCATTATATATATATTCGTTTGTAAAAGAGTAGTCCAAGAGTTGACAATGGGTGGTTGGGGTTGACTAGCTGCTTTCCCTCAAGTTTGTTACTTCAAAATTAGGGACGGATAGCGCAGGTAGCCTCGAGTAGATTTGCGCAAAATTCAAAACAAATGTAACCAAACTTTAGCTAAGTCAGCACCAACACACTGAAATATTAGATTTATGTATAACTTCCGCCAGCTTAAGTTTAAAATGTACAGAGTTTCATGTCGGCCAAGATATATACTGCGTTCCCCCTCCCATACTAATAAACCCATATATTATCAAAATTACAACTATAATAAAGCAGACTGGCATAAATACAAAGCAAAATTAGACGAAGTACTACCAAATTCTACAAGACAAGTGCCACGCGACCGTTGGAAATAGGCGATTACTGCCAAATAATAGCTGAGTACATTACAAAGACCGCGAAAACAGCCATATAAAAAGACGAAAAACCTACTAAAATAACACATGAAAACCATATAAAGACATAATAAACTTTATCAACGAGAGATGCAGGTTACGCAGTTTATACATTAATACCAGAGACATAACTTTAAAACTACAAATTAACACACTCAGAAACAAAATATGAAACTAGATCAAACAATTAGAACAATAAAACTGTGACTCATTCTGTAAAAAACTAAATGAACAGGACGACCCAAAACACTTCTGGAAGCACATAAAAAAAGATGCACTCAAAACCACAAACCAACAAATACATGCCAAACACTAGTGTATGGTAACAAAACCGCATACACAAACACACAAAACGACCCCGATATGGATGACCACTACCAAAATCAGTTACATGCAACAACTGAACAAAGTAAATAAATTTTAACACCAATATTTCCGGTAACCATTTCAACAGAAACAATAACTACAAACATATTAGAAGCACATATGACAAGCGAAGTAACAACGATCCAGACAAGGCGTCTGGGGGAGACTGCATACAATCAATTTTACTCAAAAACGGCCCTCAGCTATTACTTGAACACCTAAAGGCACTTTTAAGTCTTTCCCTCACACCAGGGCATATCCTCGTTCCTTGGAAGCAAGCGAATATTCTCATGTCTTTAAAGTCAAGAAAACCAACAAATAAACCACAGAGCTACAGACCAATCAGCCTGACCAGCGGCGTGGGCAAAATCTTAGTAAGACTAATAAGCAACAGATTATATACATATCTAGAAAGAAATTCAAAACTATCGGATGTACAAAACGGTTTCAGGAAATTTCGACAAACAACTGATCATTTAATTAGATTAACTGAAACTGTAATAGATAGCTTTAATATAAAAAAGTGTACAGTCGTCTGCCTGCTCGATCTAGAGAAGGCTTTCGATACAATCTATCACTCAGGTCTAAGGTTCCGGACGTTACAGATGGAACTACCGCGAGGAATTATTTGCTGATTATCAAACTTCCTAGATAATAGAAAATGCCGAGGGCACCTAGAAACCGGGTTTCGATACCCGTGGTGGGCAGAGCACAGATAGCCCATTGTGTAGCTTTGTGCATAAATTCAAACAAACAAACAAACTCTGAGTCTTTTACTCCTGAGGCAGATGTTCCTCAATGAGGAGTAGTTAGCCCCATACTCTTCGTCGTGTATGTAAGCGACATGCCATTAACAGATCCAAATTTCTGTTATACCTAATAATTCGCAAATGATGTAGCATTTTGGAAGAGTTCTCAAACACCCTCCATAGCAGCCTCAAACTTACAACCCGCTACAAACGAAATAGCAGAACACTGTCAAAGAAAAATAATTAAAATTAATATAACCAAAAGTAAAATATTTGTACTGGCAAAATTAAAGAAATTCGTTAAAAACAACCCAGAACTCTATCTTCACAGAACCCTCCTCCAGAAGGCTACATAAACAAAATTCCTAGGCCTTACGTCTGATTCAAAATTAACTTGGCTACAACATATAAATGAAATCTCTATTAAAATCTGGAGACGAGTAAACTAGGTTAAAAGTCTGTCCGGAAATAATACAGGCACAACACCCAAAAACATACTGAAGATATACAAACAGTATATACGACCAGTAATAGAATACGCCTGTTCGGCATGGATCAACATAGCACCCAAGAAAATACAAACAAAACTACAATAATTATAAAGCTCATCATACATGATGGAAATGAGCCTAAGTACCTCTCAACCTTAAATGTGTATTATAATTATAGAAACAGCCACCTACTGCTAGACTTACCTAATATATCATTTATGTAGTGTATACTTTATGTATTAAAAAGGGTATAAATGTCAATGCATATAAATATGTTTTAAAACGAACAAGCGCTGGAGTATATGGGACTAATACAACAAAGTGTATATCAGTGCAAATGATGAATGTCGAACATGAATGGACATGTCCCTGATAGGGGTATTGAAATTACACAGTAACTTTAAACGATATCAACACCTTCTTTTGTATAAAATGAATACAAATCCTATAACCCGAGCGCTTTCGAAAGGTGGACCTTTCTTCTTCAGGGGCAAACTTCTTTTGTATGATGTTCACCATTTAATCAGTATAACAAAACATCCGTGCAGGAGGGAGGAAGAGGTGGGAGTTTCATACGTGACCCTCCCAAATCCCGAAAAGGATCTAGATCCTGATGAAGTCGTCGTCGAGCTAAGTCAGCGGTTCTCAATCTGTGGTCTACGAACTTGTTTCAAGTGGTTCATGGAAACATTGCATAATTCCGGAACATCTGTTATGTAACTAACCCCAAATACTTCAGTTGTTGTATTCCGATTATCGGCTGTCGTTACACAATCGAAACAGCAGTCACTGAATTACTCGAGTTATTATCTAACAACTCCTTATGGTACAACCACACACATTCTCTGAACCGTAACTTATCCTGAAATCCCATATATAACTACATATTTTCGTGTTACATTTTAGAATTCGTATTCTCGCTATATAACAACAGATTCATTCGACGGGAATCGAAGTTTAATGATGAACAACAAAACGACAGCAGCAACAACGAACATTTGACACGTGTATGTTCAGTAACAAACATTTAATTCTTGAACGTTTCGTAATATACATATTTCATCTTCAGCAAACTATAATAAACAGGGTAAATTATTAGGTTACAACTATTTTTAAAGTTTAAACATTTTATAAAAGTAATTAAAATACAGAAGAAAATGATGAAATAAATTAAAAGACAACAACAACAACAAAGAATAGGGTAATACAACAATACTATACAAGTTATTCAGAACACACGTGTCAAATGTTCATTGTTGCTACCATTGTTCTGTTGTACTTCACTATAAAATTTCAAAAGTTGTTCTTTATTATAAAATCAAATGAGATCTTATGATTCCCTACTGAAAATTCTATAGCCAATATTTTTCTAATATGTTATAACTACGCCAGTCTTCTGAACCTTCGTAGGTTAGTTTGTTTGGTTTGTGTTGAATTTCGCGCAAAGCTACACGAGGGCTATCTGCGCTAGCCATCCCTAATTTAGCGGTGAAACACTAGAAGGAAGGTAGCTAGTCGTCACCACCCACCGCCAACTCTTAGGCTACTGTTTTTGCCAACGAATAGTGGGATTGATCGCCACATTATAACGCCCCCACGTCTGAAAGGGCGAACATGTTTTGTGGGAGGGGATTCGAAACTGCGACTCTCAGATTGCGAGTCGAGCGTCCTAACCATCTGACCATACCCACAACGGGTATCGAAACCCGGTTTCTAGCGTTGTAAGACCATAGACATACCGCTGTGATACTGGGCGAAGAGAATGAAAAAAAGTGTAAAGTTTTACCAAATTTCTACAATTCAAAATCCTCAACAATTCGCGGCGGCACATGCCCCCGCACAGGGCGCTGGCGCCAAAATCGACATGTCAACCAGAAGTTCTTTTCAATTTTACAGTTTCAGAGGCACCGAATGCAACGCTCGCACAGGCCACAATTTTGCTTAGAGCTTGTTCTGCATCAAGGTATTATTCATTTTGAAAGATAAAATTGCAAAGTTCGAAGACATATAACAATAAAATTCGATCTTCAGTACACATGGTGGGCACTGGCACAGCATGGATAACTCATTGTATAGCTTTGGGTTTAACAAAAACAAATAAAGTTCTAAATATGAAAGGGTCATAAATATGAAGCTGGTCACTTATACGTGTGTACCACCTTCTCTTATGCCCCCAAGTGGCACAGCGGTATGTCTGCGCTAGAAACCGGGTTTCGATACCCGTGGTGGGCAGAGCACAGATAGCCCATTGTGTAGCTTTGTGCATAACTTCAAACAAACAAATCTCTTATTTCAAAACTGTTCATTGTTATATAATATTTACTTTCCTTCTGTTAACATACAGTGTTCGTTTCATGTTATTTCAAACCCACAAGCAATAAATCTTTATCTTTAGATAACTGTGGTTAGGGCGCTTGACTCGCAATCTGAGGGTCGAGGGTTCGAATACCCGTCCCACCAAACATATTCGCCCTTTCAAACGTGGGGACGTTATAATGTTGCGATCAATTCCACTATTCGTTTATAAAAGAGTAGTCCAAGAGTTGGCGGTGGGTGGTGACGACTAGCTACCTTCCCTCTAGCTTTCACTGCTGAATTGGAGACGGCTAGCGCACATAGCCCTCGTGTAGCTTTGAGCGAAACTCAACACAAACCAAACAAACTAACCTACGAAAGTTCAGAAGACTGGTGTAGTTATAACATAAAACCTATATCTTGACCACCTGAAGTTCACACTGAAACATAAGACCTATATCTTGACCATTTGAAATTCATAATAATGACAGTAACTGACTGCTACTACACAAGTGGACAAATAAGGTCTACGAGAAATACTGAACGAGATCCATTTACAACTTCCAGTTAGAAGCTGATGCACAAAAATTAACAAGCACACACACTCACACAAACAGAAAACAACACAGATGTATCCGGCAAAACTAATGGAGTCGATAAAGTATTCATTAAAAACAGCGATGAGTTGTTTCAATCATGTGTTTATTTTTCCCGAGCAGCACAGCGCTGTGCATTTATCACAAATAGCACATTAGTAAGCTTCATTTACACGATAACTTCAATAAAAGCTCCGATATATATTCAAATGAAAAAGTTGTGTGCATTTTCTTATAGCAAAGCCTCACCAAGCTATCTGCTGTGTCTACTGAAGGGAATCGAACCCCAGATTTTAGCTTTGTAAATCCGGAGACTTACCGCTGTCCCACCGGTGGACGAAAGAAGGTGATAACAAGGAAAGCAGACATACATACACACATATATATATATATGTGTAATATTTTCTAAAATACAAAATACAATCATATTTTTTTATATACTGAGGTGTAAGTGGTAATGTAATAGCAGTAGTTTTTTTCAGTTTAGCATGTGATCAAAACTTAACTGGTCTTCTTAATATGCACAGCTCCCCAGCGGCAAGCCTGGGGGCTCATACCGTGAAAAACCGGGTTTCGATACTCGTGGTGGGTAGAGTATAGGTAGTTCATTGTATAGCTTTACGCTTAACAAAAAACAGACAATTATATACAACTTAGTCTTTCGATGGTCTCAGTGGTAAGCTAGAGTGCTTATAACGTAAAATTCGGGGTTCGATTCCACACACTGGACACAGTGCAGATAGCCCATTGTGTAGTTTACGTTTAATAATAAAGAAAAAATAAAAATATATAACCTAAGAAACATAAACAACCTTTTGAGTCACTATCAGGTCCAAAAGTTTTCTTCTCAATTCTTCGCTCCCAAGTAGATCCACGATTTATGATCCAGGTGGAGTCTGTCACGTGGTTGTAGCTCCAACCACAAAACCCTTCCTCAAAGTCACAACTAACTGGATCTTGCACTGTTAAAGTAAGAAGGTTTAACACTTTTTAAAACAATTAACCGCTCTACAAGATATATTAAATTCTCCCTTTTAATTCATTATTATGTAAACTAGGCATGTGGCTATCAGTCATGTGAACTGAAATACAAATTACTCGTCATTCAGCCTATACTATATATATATGGTGGATTCATAGAATCGTGTTTCATTCATCGCTTTGACGTGATCAAAAGAGTTCAAAAACACTTCGTATTAATCATTACTCATAGCTAGACCTTAGAAAAGACATTTGAATGTTTTTCTTACATTGAAAATTATTGGAGAAATGGAAGCCAGCCAATCACAGCAAACTGTCGCAATTTGACCCCACTGTCCCCAAGTGTTTTTAAATGTTAGTATGCATATACTACGCATCTTACTTTCTAATACATTGTGTAGTTTTCCTAAGTTTTTATTTGTAACATAGTGAATTTAGTTGGGCTAAGTGCTAAATTCATCCTGAGGTGTTACTCTTTGTAAGGGGTCTGTCTGATCGTGGAAGGAACGTGTTCACTGTTTCTTGGAATAATTTTAAATATCGTACTTTGAAGAATCGCTTTACGACTTTCACATAGAACAGTGATAACAGTGGATTTCTGACTGGTCGGCTGCCGAGAGAGTGTGTATTGTGATTGAAGTTTAGAGCTTTTGAACCAATTTTGTTTCGGTTTTGAAGAAACCAGAATGTAATAAATCTCTTATTATCTTCAATAATGTTTGTTTTTGTATCATTATAACACTACACGACAGTACGTTAATTATACACCTCGTGTTTTTTTTTTTTAAGGTTTAGGCTTATATCATTATCTAAAGAACTCAATATATTATCTTATTATGAAATACGTGACTTATACATTCTACTATCAACAATTCAGGAATCACAAGGCTATTGTTCTTAGGAAAGCTTGTACATTTGGTTTTGACATTCAATAATTGATATTATAACGCTATGATATATCTTACCAGGCTTGTAAGTACCGCCCTCTACAGTAACATCGTCCAACGCGATGACTCCAACAGACCCATGGCGCATTTCAGCCTCAAAAACAACCTGCGTTGCAAAATTTAGTTTGATTTCAGTGTCCATCACAACATAAGTACATGTTTAATAAATTTTGATGTATACCTAAAAATGTGCAAGAAATGTATTAATTTCTGAAATGGTGAAGATTAGACACATTTAACGTTTAGCCTAAATGTTACATTATGCATTCGTTGGCTAAATTGACGGGTCAGAGAACGATATCGTTCAGGTACAACAGTCTATTTTTCAATTATTGGTTAGAAGGAGGGCAGCTAGTCAAAAGCATCCACCACCATTACCACTAGGGCTTTTTCTGTCTCCTAGAACTGAGTGACGGGATTGGTTGTCACTTATATAACATCTTCACAATAAATTATAGTTTTAAACACAGGTTGTTAACACGTTATTAATTATCGTTAAACACGAGTTGTTAACACGTTAATAATTATCGTTAAACACGTTAATAATAATCGCTAAACACGGGTTGTTAACACGTTAATAATTATCGTTAAACACGAGTTGTTAACACGTTAATAATTATCGTTAAACACGGGTTGTTAACACGTTAATAATAATCGCTAAACACGGGTTGTTAACACGTTAATAATTATCGTTAAACACGGGTTGTTAACACGTTAATAATTATCGTTAAACACGGGTTGTTAACACGTTACTAATTGTTATTATTAGGAATAGTTAACTCGTTACTAACTGTCGTTATTAGGAGGTGTTAATATGTTACTAACTGTTATTATTATTATGAGTTGTTAATAAGTTACTAACTGTTATTATTATTAGGAGTTGTTAACTCGTTACTAATTGTCGTTATTAGAAGTTGTTAATATGTTACTAATTGTTATTATTATTATTATGAGTTGTTAATATGTTACTAACTGTTATTATTAGGAGTTGTTAACTCGTTACTAATTGTCGTTATTAGGAGGTGTTAATATGTTACTAACTGTTATTATTAGGAGTTGTTAACTCGTTACTAATTGTCGTTATTAGGAGGTGTTAATATGT